CGTCGCTACGACAGGCCACAGCGCGGGTTTTTCAGTTGCCGCAATCGTTGCTACTGGAATTTCGAACATTTCTGAGATGCGGTGCAAATGCAAGTTAGGCTTGGCCATGTCGCTTAGGAATGCAGTTGCTCTTGTCAGAGCATTTCCTGAAAGTGCCCAAAGGGCACCTCCTTGATGGAATCTATCATTTCCTGCCACTGCCATTAGTCAAGTTTGAGCACTAACTGACTAATGTGCCTCTCGCGTATATATTGCGCTGCTGAATTCACCCACTTCAGTCGTTGTGACTGGGAAAGGAGATAACTTGGCTGAACTTGCCACCCTGGGCGACGAAGCGGGCTTGCTGCACTTTTTTTTGCCCATGCGACACCCTGTTCATAACGAAGAACTCCTATCTCCCTTTTTGGAAGAAATCAAAGAAGATATTGAATGTGAGTGATGCTACAATGCGCTCTTCTCGAACTTCACTCCTGTTTGTCAAGTCATTGCTCCCAACACCGGTGATGATGTGCGTGGAAGACTGAAAGCAGCAGTAGTTGAAAATGTGTACAGTGCCGTATGCGACTGGCCGATGGCGCTTAAAGCAACTGATGAATCTTGCTCGGGGGATGTTATCTTCCTAGGCGACTCTGCTATCTGTGCGTGGTTTCATTGGAGATGACGGTTTTTGTAAGTACACACGGACTCCATGAACAAGTTTTGAATCAGCATTTAAGCCTCTTCGAAGAAAGATGTTTCAAGCAGCAATGTTCCCTCTGATGTTTTGTCTTAAATGGACCCTGCAACTGAGCTCGATAAGATGAGGGTCATTTGTTGAGAGATCGGCGTCCCAGCGCCATCAGATACATCTAATTTTTTTGTGCACGGCCTATCTTCAGTGGGCGCGTTCCAGCTTGTTGCTCGCATTCGACGAGACATCGACGTCTCATTCGGACTAGAAGACTTGAGAGCACACCCCAATATAGCTCAGCTCGCAGATTGGTGTTAGCGCGTTAAACGGAGAACGATGGCCTCTGAACCTCAAAAGCCTTCAGTGGAGGCTACGGTTGAATGAGGCGGTTGAATGCTCAGGTATACTAGTGTGGACCAAGCACTTCAGGCCGCGAAGACGCTTCAATTTGGAGTGTGGCGAATCACGAGACTCGAGTGTGTACTACACTTGATCTTTCGTTGATTAGCACACCTGACGCAGTAGTCGAATTCAAATGTACCTGTCGAATATTCTGTCACTAGTTTCTACCCTCTAAGCGTGCCAAATATGATCATGAGCACCTGCCCTCTTGGTGTCCCCCCCTTGGTTGCCTAGAACAAAACGTTGCCGCTCTTGGCTGCAAGCCTAAAAAGAGTCGCACGCATCTTCCCCTTGCTTGCCGCTAAGATGCATCTCGAGTCTCGATGTTTATTTCTTTGAGTATCGCGTCAGAGCAACATCCCTCTGCGTATCACACACACGGACCTCATTTGATCACAGGACTGGTCTTGAGAGTCATTGTGATTAGGTCGTCGACGCTCAGGGATTTTGTTTCAATTGGCGATTCGTATCATAGCATGGTTAGACTACCTTAACCTCCTTTATCAAATGATTATGTCTTCGCCTGTATTTGGCGCCTCCTTGTGCCCCGCAT